CCTGTTCGGTACACATTAAAATTTTCATTTTCATTCTTTTACTCATTTTCAACCACACAATTTTCAATAAAATAATATTTTCTATCACATCAATAACGTTTTCTTCCTTTTCAACCACAAATTTCATATCAATCTACTATTTCAGAATACATTCTTCCAAAATAATGTGGCTCAAACACACATTAATATGTAGAAAAAAAAATTACACATAATTTTTTTCTACATAATTTTTTTTTACACCAAAAAAATTAAATGGACCGAAAATTGAACTGGACTATAACTCGGTTTAGTCCCCTATATACATCCATGTTAGCTACAATTTACTTTCATTTATCCATTAGACTTACATAAATCCACCTAACTAGATTTTTTATTGAGGAAATTACACTAGATCAGGTGTTTAGTTTTAACTTTCTAAAAATCAGATTTTGACTTTTTTTAATAAAAAATCAGGTTTTATTATTTTTAATTAATAATAATGGTATAAAATAAAAATAATATATTATACCCACCCTACTCCCTACCTACCCCCACCAATAAAATCCGAACTCTATCCAAACCCTACCACTTAAAAGTGTCAAAATAAGCTTCGACTGAAAATTTTGTGGGTTGTAGGCTAATCCTCAAGCCTTTGCGAATTTTTGTAGGCCAAGTCTGAATCGACACAGGGCGATCCTAATATAGGACCAAATCGTGTCGGGTCCTTAACATGGCGGGCCGATTTGAATCGATCTGTTCATTTTGACACCACTAATTCGAAGATGATTATTTGTCTTCGCGTGTACGGGAAACATATCTTTTTCCATAATTTTGGTGGATTAAATATTTGCTAAAAGTATTTCCTTTCTTATATACATCAATTAGTTTTACTAATTTTAGTCTATTTTGTCTAAAAATTTCTCTTTGTTCTTCAACATCTATTAAACCTCCTAGTCTTGTTTATGTTTCTAAATTTTTACTTAGAGATCTTATTAAGGGATTTCCTATTATTCTACTGTTACGAGCTAGTTCAAGGATGGATTTAGGATCGGACTACAAGTCGGGTTAGCCCATGTTTGATACACATTAAAAAATAAAATAATATTTTCTATCACATCAATAACTTTTCATTCCTTTTCAACCACAAATTTCATATCAATCTACTATTCCAGAATACATTCTTCCAAAGTAATGTGACTCAAACACACCCTTAATATGTAAAAAAAAAAATTACACATAATTTATTTTTACCCCAAAAAAATTAAATGGGCCGAAAATTGAACCGGACTGTAACTCGGTTTAGTCCCCTATATACGTCCATGTTAGCTACAATTTACTTTCATTTATCCATTAGACTTACATAAATCCACCTAACTAGATTTTTTATTTTATAGATCTAGTTTTCCAGCTGAGTCCTAATATTTGATAAAAATACATTTTAGAATAATGTTATGATAGAGAATTTGTAGTTAAAAAGTAAAAAAAAAATTGAATTTGCGTATAATATTATTTTATTGAATAATGCGTGATTAAAAATAATATAGAGAAAAATGTATTTTAAAAATAATTGACCAAACAAGAACTAAGATGTCTAGGTCTTTTTTTAGAAGTTTCTCTATTCACTATTGACTTTTCTTTTCATACTACTTATTTAGGGTGTGTTTGACACCCATTTTGATGAAAAATAAATTTTGGAATAGTGATTGATGGGAAGAATGTGTGGTTAAAAAGTAAGAAGAATTTTTGGGTTTATGTGTAATATTATTTTATTGATAGAATGTGTGGTTGAAATGAAGAAAGAGAAAAAAAATGAGAAAGAGAATGGGAAAAGAATGGATATATACCCCAATTTTAGGGATCATAGCAACTTGGCCCCCGTTTGACACCCATTATTTTGAAGAATAAGTTTTTGAATAGTGATTGATGTAAAGAATGTGTGGTTAAAAAGTAAGAAGAATTTTTGGGTTTATGTGTAATATTGTTTTATTGATAGAATGTGTGGTTGAAATGAAGAAAGAAAAAAAAATGAGAAAAATAATGAGAAGAGAATGGATGTCAAACGGGGGCTTAACATAAAAGACACCAGTTCCATTATAGGAAAAGTAGAATGAAATTTTTTATAACTAAAATAGTTTAAGAACACACTTTTAAAATTAACAAACTTGTAAAAAATTTCAAAAAATCAATTGGTATGTGATTTTGACTTGGTGGCATGTAATCGCGATCTATTCTAATAAAAGATGGGAAAAAAAAAATTACAAGTCGGACATTAAGTAGGTGGCAATTTAATTTGCAAGTTTTAAGTTTCAAAATGCAAAATTCATGTATTAATTAATTAATTAAATATATTAACGTCATAATTATACAACTAGTGGTCATAGGCGTGTATAGTCACAATAAAATTTTTTGATAGATCACAATTTATTTCGTTAGTCATAAATCAAAAAATTTATAGGTCATAATTTATTTGTCGATCACGAATTTTCAAATTAGTTGGTCACAAATTATCGAATTTTTAAATCACAATTAAATAGTTTGTCACGAATAACCAAATAATTGGCCACAAATTAATCAAATAGTTGGTCACATATCACCACCACCACGGCCACTCGCGACCACCAACACCAACACAGCCTAATAACGCCACTATCACCAACACAGTCACACTTGCGACCACTACCACCTCGCCACCACCAACACACATCGTCTTTGCCACCCCACAATCGCAAAACCACCACCACACACCACAACAACTGCAAAAAACACTACCACAACAACCATCAGTCACACAAACCACTATATTCATCGAAGAAATCAAACTCATAAATTAAAAAAAAAAAAGGAAAGGAAATAACAGATTTGCGCCGTTGTGGATCAAATGATGTTAGATTAGAAGCAACAGCGATGGGCGAGCAGTCGTCGCTGCACACCAGATCGCGATAGCGTGTGTCGTCGTTGCTTCAAGCGTAGCATCGCCTGCCACCAGATTTTGCGATACTTAAAAAGCAGTGCAGCGGCAATGGGGGACTATCTATGAACGGGCAGCGATGTGCCGCTTTGTGGACAAGCAACACCATGACGATGTTGAGCAACTAGTTTGTGTTGACTGTAGGCGTGAATGGGGGCGAAGATGGTTTTGGGGGATGGTTTTGGGTGATCTCTTCCTCCAATGATCTGCTCTTGAGATGGCTGTTGATTGTTTGTTGTTGTTGGTGACGGCGACGACGATTGTGAATTTTTAAAAAGAGATAGAAATGAAGGAGAAGAGACGGGAATGATGTTAGGGTTTGTGAGCGTGGGGTGGGGATATGTAAATTAAATTAATTTTATATTATTATTAAATTAAATTAATTTTATATTATTATTATTTACAAATTAAGACTATGTTTGGTACCAATTCTCATTTTCAACAGTAAATCAATTCTCATTTTCAACCACACATTCTTCAATAAAATAATATTTTCAATCACATCAATAATCTTATCTTATTTTTCAACCACACATTTTCCATCATATCACTATTCAAAATCAATTCTTCCCCCAAAAAAT